TTTTTCTGCATTCCACTCATTTTTATAAAATAGCTTTGAACAAAATGTTCGAACTAGTGTATAAACCAACAATGCTTTACAGATAATCCAGACAAAACAGAACCAGTGACTGATGATGACATCGTGAAAACTTTATTAATCAGCAAATGATTGAGAATCCCAATTTAGGTAAAGAAAAGTTGGGTTAAGGGGTATTAAAGGACAGTGTCAGGGTCTCGTTTGTTTGTCACTAGTATCTAAAATCATGTAGCTCAAAAATGTTTATTTAAGGATTAATTCTTTCCCTAGAAAATAGGGAGTAGAGATTTGTAAGTAGGACAAATTTTGATTTAAGATGAGTACTTTATCATTGTAATTCAACTTCCTTGACTGTTATATTCAGGGTCTTTAATGTCTCTAGTTTCAGGCCTCTCCAGGTCCCCGATGCAAGGATGAAAATATTTAGGGCACATACAAATTTGGCCTACTTCTTGTAATACATTAGAGGTTACATGAGAGAATAGGTAATCAGAAGTTATTCTTCCCTTCAAATCACCTCTTCTGCAGACACTCAGTGAGAGATTTTAGAGGTAACAATTTAATAGTTTAAAAACTTTAAAAATCCAAGATAAATAAGCACAGGACTATAGGACCAAATCTTATCAAAACTACTCATGTATTCACTAGTTGAATGTTTCTAATTCCTGTGTGTCAAAAGCCTTCATCATGAAAATAGAGCTATAATAAGAAATGGCAAAATTTAAAAGCTTAGATAGAGGCTAAGAACTTTCTGTTGAGTTCTAATTCTGCCACTTATTAGCTGTATAATCTTGGGAAAGTTAGTTGATATACCCCAGTTTTATCGTAGGTAAAAAGGGATATAATGGTACCTTCTTCCCATGGGAGTTCAGGACCAATTATGAGCCAGAAAAGGAAAAGATTGATAGCAATCACAATATCATCCACTAAACTGCTAAACGTTAGATTTGAGAACTGGGCTTAGACGTGTGGCAACAATAGGCTGGCTAACAAATCAGTTGGTGTTGGACCTGCTGGTCTCCCCATTCAGGAGCCTGCCCATGTAAAATGTGTGGTGTGTAGGAATAGCATGGAATACATGCTCTCTTTGGATCCCAATTTAAAATGAAGGAAGAAAGGTCTGAAATAAGCATTTTAAAAATGCTTCGCCTAAAGTCATCAATAAGAAAAGTCACTGCCCTTTCCCTGGGGAGGAGTGAAAAGGGTTGGGAGAAAGTAGACAGGAATATTACATTAGTGAAGCTCCCTAAGGAAAGAAACATTGGAGTAGAGGGAAAGTTTTATCACCTAACATTTCCAGACTCTTGTTCTCTTATTCTACTGGGCTTGACCTTTTAGCCTATATTCTATCAGGCTGTGGCTATCCTCTTGTGGGGTAAAGATCAGTGCAGACTATGAAGAAAGTCGTATTCTCATTTTCATAAGGCTGTTCTCTCAGCATTAATTGTGCTACTCTGTGGGTCTTCCTGGTATTGTCTAGTGTTGCTTCTGTACCCAGAATGCCCTGAAATAGGTCAGATGAATACATTACATAAATTAACTTGGAGATATATTGTGCCCAAGGCTGAAAATCAGTTTCCCATCCCAGATTTTGTCTAGTCAAGTTGTCCAATGACATGGTATGTTAGTTCAGGTCCACTGAGAAGCAGTTGCCAAGAAGAGATTAGACAGGTAAGAGATTTATTGGAGGAGGGAGCAGGTAGAGGCAGAGAGAGCCATCAAAGCATAGCGCAAGTCTGACTTCTGTGCAATAAGAGAGGGAAGGGAGGAGAACTGGATGGGAAGAATCTTAGACTCCAGTGCAGTTTTTAGAAAGGTTAAATCTGGCTGACCGGGAGTCCTTGAGCCAAATTTGCTTGTTGGAGAATTTCTGTCTCCCTGGAAAGGGCCTGCTTTAGTACCCTAGCTGTCTTCCATCATTGGCTAGGAGAAGCTGGCTGAAGTGTCCTCAGTGTGAACATGGTGATGAGTCCAAAGGGTGGGAGTCCATTATGCTCCCCAGAGCAGGAGGGCTGAGCAGTACATTTTCATGGCTGCAACATGGGTATAGCCCACCAGAGTTCCACAATGGCATATTTAATAGAGTGACAGTATAAAGATACTCCAATAATAATATATAACAATAAGATGCTTCACATCTGAATATAGACTTCTCCCCATGATCAAATACCAGGGAGAAATTATAGTAAAAAAAATCAGAACCCCTTGCAAGCTAAGTCCAAATAAGTTAAAGTCCAAAGAGATTAAAGTTCTAAATCAAATTCTCTTGACTTGATGAGTTAAAGTTTTAAAAAATTAAAGTCTAGAATTTGTCTCCCCCTGTTTCTTATTCTACTCGGTCTTAGCCAAGAGAGGGGAGATGTGAGATTGGGTCCCCTCAGCAGCACAGCTCTTGGAATGGATATGGCTCTTTCAAGAACTAGAACTTGTCTCTATGATCCTTACTTTACAAAATAATTCCTAGAACCTACTAAATTATAAGAGTTCTACCTAGTCACTATACAATTTAGAAAGCAAGCTAAGCCCTGGATCATAATGTAGTCACCACAGGAAAATTATGTTTCCAGATCACATTGTTTGGTGAGGCCAAAGACCGTTATCAAAGGTATTTGCGTAAAGGTAGGTAAATGGAGATAATCTGGGCTTTAGTCTCACAGGATTCATTCATTCATATTGCAAATAATTAATGAATACCTACTGTGTGCCAGGAGATATTCTAGCAATGAATAAAATAGACACAAGTCCTTGCCCTCACGGAGCAAAACTGCATTCTATTTGGGAAGACATTTTTAATGTTTATTTATTCATTTAGAGACAGGGCCTCACTCTTGTCACCACTCTGTCACCTCACTCAGGTTGGAGTGCACTGGCCTGATCATAGCTCACTGTGACCTCCAACTCCTGGGTTCAAGCAATCCTTCCACCTCAGCCTCTTGAGTAGCTAGGATACAGGTACATGCCACCACACCTGGATAATTTTTTTTTTTATTTTTTTGTAGAGACAAGGTCACTCTGTGTTTCCCAGGCTGTTCTTGAACTCCTGGCCTCAAGTGATCCTCCTGCCTCAGCCTCCCAAAGTGCTGGGATTATAGGTATGAACCACTGCACCAGGCTGATATTTTAAAAATAAGATAGTTAAATACACAACATATCAGTGACATGATAAAGAGAAAAAAATAAATAAAAGAAAGGAGTTATAAATGTTGAGATGGATTAGAATTTTATCTAGGATAGCCAGGGGAGGCAATTTTGAATAAAATCCTAGAGGATGGTAAAAAGCAAGCCATGTTTATATCTGAGGAGTGATCATTTTAGGGTAGAGGAAATAGCAAATGCAAAAGCAGGAGACAGGAGATTCTTGGAGTGTTTAAGAAACAGCAAGGAAGCCTGTGTGGCTGGAGTACAAAGTGAGCAAGGTGGAGAGTGAATAGATGAGATCTGGAAGACACAGAGGGACATACCATAGTAGCATTCACTCTAATGAGATGAGAAGCCCGTGGAGGGTACAGAGCAGAGTATTGACTTGAATTAACAAGATCACCCAATACTCTGCTGAGAAGCAACTCTAAGGGGCAAAGTGCAGCAGCAGGAGGATCATTTAGGAAGCTGCTGCAACAAGAGATGATTGTGGCCTGGACCAAGGTGATAGTGGGGGTTGACAAATGACTGGGTTTGTATATAGTTTGATGGTAGTACCTTCCTATTTTCTGGAGTTGGGAAAGTTTGAGCTTAAACTCAACTGGGAGAAATCACCCATCAAGAAGTTAATCGCTTACTTCCAATATAGGAGGAAGAGCCAACTCTGCATACTATTTCCTTCCTCAGAGAGTGACATTTGTGACAGTTTTAGCTTCTAAAAAAATTTTAAATAGGCTGGGCGCAGTGGCTCACGCCTGTAACCCTAGCTCTCAGGGAGGCCAAGGCAGGCGGATTGCTCAAGGTCAGGAGTTCGAAACCAACCTGAGCAAGAGCAAGACCCCGTCTCTACTATAAATAGAAAGAAATTAATTGGCCAACTAATATACTATAGAAAAAATTAGCCGGGCATGATGGTGCATGCCTGTAGTCCCAGCTTCTCGGAAGGCTGAGGCAGAAGGATTGCTTGAGCCCAGGAGTTTGAGGTTGCTGTGAGCTAGGCTGACGCCATGGCACTCACTCTAGCCTGGGCAACAAAGTGAGACTCTGTCTCAAAAAAAAAAAAAAAGTTTTTTAAAATAAATCTTCACATGATGACAGCCCCAATCAATAGTTTTTACTCAAATTGCCTTTTCTTCCTAACATATTCAAAACAGCTTCATTTCTATTTTCCCATTGAGTCTCATGTTCCTGAGACCCCAAGCAGAAAAGAGCTGTGCTGTGTGGGGACATAGTCTCCATGATGTCTTATGAACAGGCACCCCAATCCTGTGCCACAGGGGCTGTTGCTGTTGCCTTTTGCTGTGGCCTAAGATACCTGCCTCCTGCTTCCTACAATGTAATTGTCCTCAGCAGAGGCCTGTATTAAAGCTGGTTTTGAAACCTGTGCCCCTATGGGCCAAGTAAGTTCCTACATCTATGTCATGTGCTACTCAATACCTTGTCTTTTCTTCCCTTTGAATGCCACGAGCCTTGAGAGCATTTCTTTCCGCCACATTTATTTTCTGCAGTAAGGGGTTAGGCATTTAGTATTATATTTCCCTCCTCTGTTCCGTGACTATTTTTCAGAAAGGCTCATCTGAGTTTAAAACAATTCAACCTGTAATTTAGGTTGGTCCCTGTCTTTCAGTACCTATGGTAAGGCTAGTATTGTTGGCTGGATTTGAGCATCTTCTTTCTTTCATTTTATTACACATTTTTCTTTTTTTTTCTTTTTGTTTTCTGACCTAGACATACATTTTTCTTACATACTCGTCTAGCTTTTGTTATATGAGCTTTCCCATAGTGAGACATAAGAGATCTATGCATTCTGTGTTTACCAAAATCAAAGAAATTGTCACCTTCACCTTTCTGAGTTGCATAATATTCCTAGGAGACAGTCACATAGTGAGTCAACATCCAACTCAGGTCTGGGCTTGACTTGTCCTTGTTTTTTCCCAGCCATGCTGAGCCAGGGCCTTTACTGCTCTGCTATGCCTTACTGAGAGCAGACCAGAAACACATGCTCCTTGCGGGCTAGAATATCTGAAAGACAATGAAGAAGGGCAAATGGACATGAATTATAATTCATCTTCATCATATGCCCTGTTCTTCATCCGCAAATCATCAAAATCTCTCCTTTCCTGGTAATTAATAAGTAGAGTGGTAGACACAGGCTAGGAGTGTTACTCTAATGGATGTTCCCTCATATGGAAGGAAATATCAGGAGTGAGGAATAAGCATTTCCCATGAAAGTATGTAAAATACTTGGCACAGTACCTAAAATGAGGTTAGTACTCAATAAATGTTGACAATTACATAGCAAATGAATTGAAAACTTGAGAGGAAAATTATTTTCCAGTTGTTTATATGTATGGCTAAAGTGGAAAAGTATAAATAGTAGAGATAGGGCAACCAAGAAAATTCTACAATATTAGATATTTTTTCTCAATTTTTTTCGAGTAAAACTCTGTGCCTTAAATTATCCTTTTTATTTTTTTTAATTTTTATTTATTTATTTTTATTTCAGAATATTGCTGGAGTACAAACAGTTTGGTTACATATATTGTCTTTGCACCACCTGAGTCAGAGCTACAAGCGTGCCCAATGCTCAGACATCATGCACCATACCCATTAGATGTGAGTTTAGCCGTCCTCTCCTGTCCCCTCACCTGCTTGACACCCGATGAATATTACTACCATATGTGCACATAAGTTGTGATCAACTAATAGCAATTTAATGGTGAGTGCATGTGGTGTTTGTTTTTCCATTCTTGTGATACTGCACTTAGAAGAATGGGCTCCAGTGCCATCCAGGATAATACAATGGGTAGTTCACCATTTTTTTGTGACTGAGTAGAACTCCATGGTATACATCTGCCACATTTTATTAATCCACTCATGTATTGATGGGCACTTGGGTTATTTTTACATCTTTGCAATTGTGAATTGTGCTGCTATAAACATTCAAATGCAGCTGTCTTTTTGACAAACTGACTTTTTTTCCTTTGGGTAAATACCTAGTAGTGGGATTGCTGGATCAATGGTAGTTCTACTTTTAGTTCTTTGAGGTGTCTCCATACTGCTTTCCAGAGGTTGTACTAGTTTGCAGCCCTACCAGCAGTGTATGAGTGTTCCTATCTCTGGCATCCAGGGCAATATTTGTTTTGTGACTTTTTGATAAAAGCCATTCTCAAGGAAGTTAAGTGATCTCATTGTGGTTTTGATTTGCATTTCCCTGATGATTAGAGATATGGAACATTTTTTTCATATATTTATTGGCCATTAGTCTATCTTCTTTTGAAAAGTTTCTATTCATGTCCTTTGCCTTTTAATAGGGTTGTTTGATTTTTTTCTTGCTGATTTTCCTGAGTTCTATATAGATTCTAGTTACCAGCTCTTTATCAGATGTATAGCATGCAAATACTTTCTCCTATTCTGTAGGTTAGTCTATTTGCTCTACGGATAGTTTCCTTGGCTGTGCAGAAGCTTTTTAATTTGATCAGGTCTCATTTATTTATTTTTGTTGTTGCTGTCTTAAATTGTCCTTTTAGTAACTGTCTAGTCTATGAATATGTCCTGTCTCAGACATGGAATCAGCCTCTATACAAATCAACATGATTAGGTCGAGTGTAAAATTTTTTTTCTTGTATCTCAGGACCACAGAATTGGATTAATCCTAACCTTTACTTATGACACAGTCTCTTCACTGGTTTGTTCCTTCGTTTCTTCCTTCCTCCCTCCCTCTTTCCTTGCTGCTTCTCTCTTTCACAGCCTCCTTTCTCTCTCTCTCTGTCTCTCTCTCTGCCTGTCTCTCTCTCTCTCTGTGTCTCTCTCTCTTTTTCTCTCTGTCTCCCTCCCCTCTACCCACCTCCTGCCTTCTTCCTAATTTGGTTCCTCTTCTAGGGAGTCTTACAACATCAATCCCTTATTTTGAGTGGAATAGAACTTTAGGATTTCCCAGCCCCCACTTCCCTTCTTCTCCCAGGCATTTGTCTTTATTTGTTGTGCTGAGTTTGGAGTTTGAATAAATGAGGAAAATGACAGATTTGCCACATCTGGAGGAAAAACCTGCCTTTCTTTTGGTTTTCCCCAGAATTTTAAGTGCATCCCTAAAGCTCAAAGGAAACTTTGCCCTGTTTGCCAACTCCAGGGAGTCTGGGTTAAGTTAGGGGGAATGTAACAAAACCTGACGATAGACAAGTTGATGTGGTTTCAAGTTTTATTATGAAACTTATGTGTAGTTCTGCTTTTCACCCAGTTGTGTCATAGGAAAACAATCAAAACATTCATTTCAGTTTTTGCTAACCATCTGTTCAGAATAACCCAAATACATTATTATTATTTAAATATTCTGTATTATAACTCACAATTTTTCATAATATGTTAAAATTATATTATGTATTGATTCATAAGACAGTTTTAAACTATTTCCTTATTTTCCTTCAACTTTAAGTATGATCAATTATGCATATACATATATATTCTGTATATAATATACCAATATAAAATATAGACATTAAAAATAAACAAAATATTGACTTTATTTTTATTATATAAGCAGTTTATTAAAAAATTGGATAATACAAAAAATTAAAAAGACAGAAAAATCATGTATGGGGCAATTTCTTAATTCATTCTGCTGGCAACTGTTACCGTACTGGGTGTTGAGAAAAATACATAGATGACTAGAACAGAGACTAGTCCAGTTTTCTTTAGACCTAGGAGAGAGACATGTATTTTAAATATTCAACAAAAGTTTAAAGTTGACAAACTTGACAAAGCATTTTCAGTATTCCTGTATCTTCCTCTTACCTTTAACTCAGTCATTTGGGGGTAGGCTCTGTTTACCCAGAGATTATATGGCATTTGGATGCCTGAGAGTTATCATGATTTAACTTGTGGTCCAGTTTTCTTTAGACCACATATACCTACAGTTCCTTCCTTAGAAAGGTTCCTTCCTTCGAAAGGCAGGAGTTAGGAACACATCTTTCTACTTGTTACATGGGATAAAAGGGTTGGGCAGATGAGGGATAAAGGTGCAGTGTAGATGGTGCCAACTGAAGATAAAGAAACTACATTAAGATGGAGGTAGGGAAAGAACATGGTAAATGCAGTGTGTTAATGACTCACTCCAAATTTCACAAGATGGGCAACCACCAAAGCAGAACATTTTTTTCTAAAGTTATTTTGAATAAAATTTTGAAAAGAGAATTTTAACAAAATAAAGTCACTCAATCATTTTATAATTTTTAATAAGTATGTTAAGTCTCATATTGATCACATTAAAAGTTAGGAGTCAAAAATCAATTGGTTCTTACTTGTGCTTCATTATGTGCTGTTAGTGGCAGACTTCCATTTGTTTCAGTTAATCAGAACTATATTGTAAGATTCAAAATAATTATGCTAGCAACTACACAAAAGAAGTAAAGTTGTGAAATCCTATACCTTTGATCATTTAACACAGCAAGGAACTAGAAGAAAAAGTATTTTAGTTCTTAATAAATAAGGTGATTGAGGCAGCTGGACACAAAGGAGAAACTGGCAGTTGTGTAAATAATTCTGCCTTTTCCACTGAGGAAGCAAAACTAGATAGCTTCTAATTCTCTTTTGATTATGTTTTTACACACTTATATATGTATATGAAATTCATAACAAAGTCAACATTACTTTAATATAATCCATTGCTTTAATTTATCCATCTGCCTACCCATTTATCCATTCATCCAGTAAATATTTATCATGTACCTAGTTTGAGGAAAAGAACTTTGCTGGTCACAGTGTTGTCAAATTCCTTAGCTGAAGAACAATTAATTGTATGTTGCTGGGATAAGGGTTTATATAATAAAATGTAGGTGCTATGGGAAATTTGGATTTTATTTACAAAATAAATGAGTTTAAATTTAAAGAGGAAATAGCACTTAGTATCAAAAATTGAGGATTGCCTGTTTCTTAAAGAACACTCCCAAACTATCATGCAATTCTGTGTTATGAGTTTCTATTCTAACAAACAAATGAAAATGCTTTCCCATGATAAGCAGCATCAGCAGCAGATTTACTTCTGACTGTTATAGTGGTTTAGTTCATTACATGATGAGTCACATTTTTTCCTTTGTTAGTTACAAAGGTTGAGAAAAGTCTGGTGAATATATTTTACATAGGCTACAAAAAAATTAGGTTATTAAGTATCAAATGTCCGATTTCTTTAGATACTAAGTTTGACAGTTGATATCTCTGACATTTTACTTTGACACTTCTTGTTTTATTTTTGTTGTGAAGGTACATCCTCATTCGTTCAAACACATGGTTTGGCTTATGATTATCTTTCAAAAAATTTTTAGAGCAATTATTGTGAAACCATGGATAAGTGAAAAATTTGAGTTATTTTTGAATATGAGTTCTGTCACGGAACCAATGCAGTGCAGACAACTCGAAATATCAATGAAGTGTCTAGGAATGATGTGGTTAATGGATGCACAATATGTTGATGGTTTGAGAAGTTCCTGTTCTGGTGATTTTAATCTTGACCATGAGCCACGTGAGAGCAAGGTGGATAATGATGAGCTGAAAGCTGTAGTGGAAGCCAATCCATTTCAACCTACGTGTGAATTAGCAGCAAGGTTTGACATTACTATTCCAACAATATTGGACCATTTGAAACAAATGGGCAAGATAAAGAAGCTGGATAGATGGATACCACATGAATTAAATGAACATCAGAAGAGAAATCTCGAGGCTTGCCTTTGTTTGCTGTCATGGCATAAGGCGAACCATTTCTACACCATATTGTTATGTGTGATGAAAAATGGATTCCTTTTGACAATTGTAAGCATTAGGCACAATAGTTGGATAAAGATGAAGGGCCGACACAGACTAAAACTGAATATTCATCAGAAAAAATTAAGAGCTAATGGTATATGTTTGCTGGTCCAACACTGGTATTATCTACGATAGCTTCATGAAACCTGGTCAGTCGATTACAGCAGATGTCTCCTGCAACCAACTGGATGAAATGATGAGGATGCTTATGATTAAGCAGCTGAGAT